CAACCAGTGAAAGCTCCTCGACTAGTTGGTCGTACATTTTCCTTCTAACTTTAGTTGCACTTTGCGTTGATCTCCTTTAGGTTAGACAATAAAAAGCGGTGTGCCCGCTCCTATACGCATGTATACCATATATCTTGCAGCGGTGTCCCCGCTTATCATTCGTTTCGGTGGTACTCAAGGCTGCTACTTGACCAGCGGCGTGGTCTCAAAGACCGACATTGTCCTTTGGCAATACACGGCTGGTGTTGTGCAATCGTGGTTCTATGATCCCGCAACTGGTTTCTACCTGCGCTGCTTGAAACTTGACTTCGTGCCTTGGTGCCTTTGATTCTGCGGTTTATTGAAAGTACATATCTCGCAATTTCCATGTCACTATATCTATATGATGTATGTATGTGTATATTTATATATATATATATCATCTGTATAAAATGGGCTTGCTCACCGAAACTCACCCTCCTCCCGACAAGGTACGAGACACCACCTGGGGAACCGTTTGGAAATTGACTGACGACAATGAGGAGATTGTACTGGAAGTGAAACCTCAAGCACCTCCAGCAGTCCCATCGTGGTGGAAGTATTCCGAAGACCAAAGACATGTCGTGTGTTTGCGGTGACCAAAAGGAACCGGAGAGCGAAGATGTGATCCAGTGCATGTAGTATTTGTTTTTTGTCATTGTTTTGCTCACAAAACAAGCGGAGTTCCCGCTTCCCAAACATAAAGCGGTGTGTCCGCTGAAAATGACCGCAGAACTATATGGTCGTCCTGATCTCGCAAGATTTTGTGCGTCAACAGGATTCAACTTGGTTGCTGTGCTCACGCACCATGGAAGCGCTGCTCCTTTTTGCTGGGCAAATTGCTGCCCATGTTGCTACTTTGACTGATGAGTCCAGATTGGATGAGCTGGAGATGTCACGAGAAGGTTGCAGGAACTTATGCGTCCATGTTGGGCTTGGACCCCACACAGCTTGCATTGGACTCCTGTGGTGCTCGATCACAGCTGCGCAGTGTCAGCTCAATGGTCTCGCTGGCCATGACATTACGGTGGAGTCGATGGGAGTGAAAAGCCAGGTGATGGGCTTCGAAGCCCTGAAAAAGTTGAACTACTACCAGCGGTTCTATTTGCACAAAGAGCTGAAAATGTTGGAATCCTGGCTTCCCACCTGGAGCCACATGGTGCCCCAACTCATCCCAGAAGTGGAGAGTGTTTTGACGGAAGTGTTTGAAGCATTGGCGATGGATTGAGTCCCAACCAGAGGCGTATCAGATGGTATCAGCAAAACAGATGGTATCACTTGAGCGCAAGCTTTTGGTTCATATGAGAATGAAACACATTCTAGTGGATTCAGCGGTGTGTCCGCTATGCAGCGGTGTGTCCGCTATAGTTTTTTTGGCTCAATTTTTAGTTTTTTATTTAAAAAAGTTATAAAATCATACTGTTACGCGTAGTTCTCATAAAAACTTGAAAAAACAAACATTTCAAACCAGTTCTACTTATTTCTACTTATTTCTACTTAGTTCTACTTAGTTCTACTTATTTCTACTTATAAGTTACTTGTAACCTACTTAAGAATCAGTCATTTTAGTATTGTATTTTAATTCAACATAAGTAGGTTCTAAGTAGGTTAAGTAGCGCTAAGTTACTTGATGTAGATTAAGTAGGAACCGGCCTTTAGGTACCTCTCCACAAATGAAGCGCCAAGTCTCCAAAACCAGCGTTTCGTACGAGACTTCCTCAAAAGTGAAGCGCCAAGTCTCCACAACGAGCGTTTCGTACAAGCCTTCCTCCAAAAGTGGAGCGCGACCAATCCAAAACGCACTCTCACCTGCATTTCGTGCACTCGGCACTCGACACGCACGATCTCCGCGCAGAGTTGCACGGGACCGGGCCAAGACGCGCTCTCGCCTGCGTTTCGCGCCCTCGACGCGCACGATCTCCGCAGAGGGTTGCGCCGGACCGGGCCAAAACGCACTCTCGCCTGCGTTTCGCGCCCTCGACACGCGCGATCTCCGCAGAGGGTTGCCCCGGACCGGGCCAAAACGCGCATTTCGCGCCCTCGACGCACACGGTCTCCGCAGAGGGTTGCCCCGGACCGGGCCAAAACGCACTCTCGCCTGCACTTCGCGCCCTCGACGCGCACGATCTCCGCAGAGGGTCGCGTTTCGTGGTGCTCCGGCGGCGCCGCCCCCGGCCTTGAGAGAGAAAGTAAGAAGAGCGAGAGGTGAAGATGTGAGATGTAGATGTGAGGATGTGAAGATGAGCAGAGATGTCGATGTGCAGATATGAACATGAGCAGAGACTAGATGTAGATGTGTGAAGATGAAGATGAGCAGAGATGTCGATGTGAGGATGTGAAGATCAGCAGAGATGTAGATGAGAAGATGAGCGGAGATGTAGGTGTGCAGATCTGAAGATGAGCAGAGATTTAGGTGAGAATGTGGATGTGCAGAGGTGAAGATGTGAAGATGTACATGATACGTAGTTCTGCAGATGCTTTTTTACGAAGAACCCTTCGCAGACGCTCTCGGGAACTACCCGGGCAAGAGACCCCAAACAGTGTGTGTGTGAGGTCTATAAATGAAGGTGGGGATCGTGGTGACGGTGGCGGTGAGTGAGTGAGTGAGTGAGTGAGTGAGTGAGTGAGTGAGTGAGTGAGTGAGTGAGTGAGTGAGTGAGTGAGTGAGTGAGTGAGTGAGTGAGTGAGTGAGTGAGTGAGTGAGTGAGTGAGCGAGCGAGCGAGTGAGTGAGTGAGTGAATGAGTGAGTGAGTGAGTGAGTGGGTGAGTGAGTGAGTGATTGAGCGAGTGAGTGAGTAGAGCGAGTGAGTGAGTAGAGCGAGAGAGAGAGAGCGAGTGAGTGAGTAGAGCGAGAGAGAGAGAGAGTGAGTGAGTGAGTGAGTGAGAGAGAGTGAGAGAGTGAGTGAGAGTGAGAGAGTGAGTGAGAGTGAGTGAGAGAGTGAGAGAGTGAGAGAGCGAGAGAGCGAGTGAGAGAGTGAGTGAGTGAGTGAGTGAGAGAGTGAGAGACTGAGAGAGTGAGAGAGTGAGAGCGAGAGTGCACTCACTCACTCTCTCACTCCCTCCCTCACTCCCTCACTCCCTCACTCCCTCCCTCCCTCCCTCATTCACTCACTCACTCACTCACTCACTCAGAGTGAATGTGAGTGTGAGTGAGTGTGAGTGCGCATGTGAGCGTGAGTCAAGAGTCAGTGTGAGTGAGAGAGAGTGAGTGAGTGAGTGAGTCAGTGAATGAGCGAGTCAGTGAGTGAGCATTTGAGAGCGCTTTGTAAGTACTGCGCCTGGATACACCTACCGAGGTTCACCAATTGCTGCGCCTGCCACAAAATCTAGAGTGAGAGTGAGTGTGAATGTGAATGTGAGTGTGAGTGAGTCAAGAGTCAGTGTGAGTGAGAGTGAGTGAGTGAGTGAATGAGTGAGTCAGTGAGTGAGTGAGCATTTGAGAGCACTTTGTAAGTACTGCGCCTGCCACGAAATCTGCACTTCGAGTTTCAAAAAAATGACACACCTGCCGAGGTTCACCAATTACTGCGCCTGCCACGAAATCTCCATTTCGAGGTTCACCAAGCACTGTGCCTGCCACGGAATCTGTGACGCGAGGTTCACCAAGCGCTGTGCCGGAAACGAAATCTGCACTTCGAGGTTCACAAAGCGCTTCGCCTGTCACGAAATCTGCGCTTCGAGGTTCACTCAAAGCGCTGCGCCTGTCACGAACTCTGCGCGTCGAGGTTCACAAAGCGCTGTGCCTGCCACGAAATCTTCAACCGAGCCACATGTCGAAAAGCTACGACTCACTGCACCTGTCACGAAATCAGAGCGCCTTGACGATCGCCGCCATGTCCATGCAAAGTGCTGCACCTGCCACGAAATCTGCACTTCGAAGTAAAACCGCTCCGATCCCTTGCACCTGTGACGAAAAGTCGACTTTGGGCCACCAAAACACAAGGTTTCCCTTGCGCCTGCCACGAAAAGTGACCACCATGTGCGAAAAGGGAGCGCGGTCGCGACAAGCGCTCGCCGTCGCCGCCCAGATTTCGCGAGCCTGCGCAGTCGAAACGCCCGTCGCGATTTTGAGAGGCATGAATGCACTGTAAATAGCAGCGAATTAGCCGGTCACTCCAGCGCGCTTCAGCAATCTAAGCATCAGCTGCTTTTCTAACACCGTAAGACCCTAAGTGTCCACATGGTTTGGGGAATTTGGCCTCAGTGAAAGCGTGATTGCGCGATTCGGCGTAAACGCGGCGTGTCGCTGGGCGGAGTGATTGGCGGTGCCCGCGAGGACTGGTGCGCCAACAACTAGGGGCATGTCTTCAAAAGGTTGGGCTTCGGACATGCCGATTGGCGGCGCAGAGCCTAGCGCTAGGAAGAAGACAAAGGAGCTTTCACGACTTGATGCAGAGGCATCAACCCACGCTAAGAAACTGTTGGCAGGGTTACTTTAAAGTTACCTTCAAAGAACGCCGCAAAGCATGGAACACTCCGCGCATTTACAGTCAACGCGACAGTCAACGCGCTACAGTCAGCGTTCCTTCAACGCTACAGTCAGCACGTGTCAGCGCTACAAAAATGCTGGCAGGGCCAGTGCGTTGCGAGGGGCGGTGGAAGAAATCTTGCGCGGACTTTGCGAGGGCGACGCGCCTTGAACCCTCGCTCTCTCCCTTCAAGATTGTTGCGTCGGCGTCAAGACTTGCAAATGCCCCAGAGTCCTATCGAGGAAAGCCTGTGTGGCGCGGAGTTGCTGGTCTGGCAGGTGTGAATGGGTCTTGTATCAAAGCTCCCGTCAACGTAGGTCATGTAAAAACGAAAGCGCTGCCATTTTCCGCGCGCGCCGTGGTGAGCAACTCTAAGGTGTTGGGTTGATTGAAAAAAGCCATTGTCGTTGGATTGGGTGCCCACTCAAAACTTGCCATTTGCGCCTAAGCCTAGGCCTTAGCGCTAGCGCTTTGCAGCCTACATTGTTTGCGAGCTGAGAAGTGTAATTAGAGGAGAGGCCAACGGACTACGAGAAGATCTTCGAGCTGCCTGATGGGCAAAAGGCCAGAACGCGTAGCGAAGGCCAAAGTTATGAAGAAGAATCATTCCTTGCGTCGCAAGGTCAGCTTGACGGCTGAGAGGTTTAGGGTGCCGGAGGTGTGGCGCGCAATTTTGTAGCGCGAATCACTTGCATCTTTGTTTGCTTCAGGTCATGTTTGATCCAATGATAGCTGGCAGAGAGCTTCCTGGGTTCCTCTGCAGATTTTGGCCGCCCGCTTTCTGCAGTTGCACCGCGTCCCCATGCCAGGCTTCACCAGTCAGTTTATCAGTCTATCCAGGCGGGTTTCATGGGAACTGCGGCCTTGGACTGCCGGTTGCGTACTGGCTTGCGCCTTGCTCTTTTGACAGTCATTTGAAAGACCATGACTGACGCCGATGCGTTGCAGTAGTCTTTGGACATTTGGGTTTGGAAGGCGGTTCATGTCACAAAGTTTTCAGCGGAGCCTCTCATGTGCAGGCGTGCGATATAGATCTGAGAAGAGAGCTTTTTGGGAATATTGTTCTCAGCGGAGGCCTTTCGTTTCATTCTTGCTCGCGCCTTCAACTGAAAGCGCGTTCTGTTGCAGGGAATACAATGTTTCCGGGTATTGCTGATCGACTGGAACTGGAGTTGAAGGCCCGCGATCAGTACTGGCCGTAACCGCGCAAAAACAAGCGTTTGCAGATTTGGTTCAGGCTCTTGCGCCTCAGAAGATTCATGTCAAAGTGGTGGCGAACCCTCACAGAAGGCGCGCTGGCACTCGTAGCGCTCTGTGCAGATGTACAGCCCTCCTCATCGTCATCATCATCATCATCCTCATTCATCGTTGTCATCAACATCATCCTCGTCGTCGTCATCATCATTCATCGCTGACACCATCTTCATCAGCATCATCATCATCGTCATCACCATCGTCATCACCATTCATCGTTGACATCATCATCATCGTCATCATCATCATCATCTCGACGCTCGCCAGCGATGAAAGCGTACGGCCGGGCAAGAGCCAAACGCCCAGGAGAAGCGCCATGTATCCATTCACACAGGCTTATGGAGGATGCTCATCCTTTCATCACCGTGGAAGCTAGGAAGAGAGTGAAGTAGTTACTAAAAGGAAAATCGCTCTCGAGAATTGCGCAACTCGAGTAGGGAGGAAAGCGCGAAGGGAGTCAAACCTGTAAAAAAAAAATATATATATATAGGCAGGTGAGATCATCCCTGAGCATGGTATCGAAGACTGGGAAGTGAAGGCCAGGATTCTGTTCCACGCCACAGTACGTACAACCCACGGCCCAAAGCAGATATGGATGGCGCAAAGGCTTCGTCAGCAAGCTTCATTGCCAGTGGATTCTCAAAGGACTTGTCAACCTTCCTAAGTTGACAATAATGCAGATACAATACACGGTCACTCAATGTGCTATAGCGAAACGCCATCAGGTCCTGAACTGGGCGGCGCGCTAAGACTGTGCGGGTGGAGGTTGGAGGTACATGGCGGCCAAGACGCCTTCTACGGCGTGGAGTGAGCGCGTTCCGCGGTCCCCCAGCTCTGGCATAGGTGGCATAGTTATTTCGTCTCGTTCGAATGAGTGAACTTCCATCCTTTGTGGAGGTTGTGTTTGGATGAAGTTGCCTATGTCGACGATCGCAATCCAAGTTGCTTCGTGGCGGGCAGCTTCAACTCTACATAGACGGCCAAATAGACCATAGGCTTCTGGAGCGTCTCCCCCTTGTGGGCTGACGTTTGCTGCGCCCCAAAAGCTACAAATGATGCTGCGCCGGCTTTTGAAACAGTAAACAGCACTTCGCGAGGTGCCTTGAGGATCAAGGCTGGGGCAGGAGAAAGAGCTAGTGCGATCATTGAAGTTCTGCCAACTGATGAAGGAATCGCCGCAGCGCTTGCGCATGCATTCGTCATCAACTTCATCTGTGTATTTTTGCGGAGATGGTCTCTGTCTAGGCGTGGTGCCATGTGTACAAAGCTCATGGCTGTGGATCAAACCAGGTCATAGACTTGCGCCGTGTGATTTGCGCAACCGCGCGGTGTCATGAGTTGTTGTTGAAAAGGTAGTTCAAGTATTGTCAACGCCAACAGCTTCAAGACTCAAGAGCATAGAGCGCAATGGGACTGGCGCGCCGCAATGATGGTTTTTGTTCGACATGACGAGCGTCGAGCGTCCCGCTGAAACCGGGGCGCTTTTGGTTGTATCTGACAATGCTGGTCGCGGTAGCTCGATCTGCGCGACGACATTTGAGCTCCAAGGTCCAAGATGATTCTTTGATGGCAATCTAACAGGGCCACAGGGCTGCTGACCCGGACCCGGGATCAAGAGAACTGTACCATTCCAAGCGGCCCTTTTGGTGGCCCAAAAGAACCACGCGGTGGCCCATAATGGAGAGGTCCTATGCCACTAGGCTTCGCCATGGACAATATATAGATATATATATATATATATGTATGCTAATGTTTGGCTTCAGTGGCAGTTGTAGATCTTTGTGCCCCTGATCGAATCGAAGGCGAGGGCCTGCTGAGGTGGCAGGTCTTGCTCAACACAAACTTGGCCAAGAACAAGGGACAGATAAAACCAAACCAAAACGTGCCCATGGATCACCTCGAAGTGGTGACGCTCTTCTTTGTGTTGTCGTTGTGGATGAGCAACATTCCGGTAATGGAGGAGGTCCAGGATCAGTTTCATCAGGGACCACCCGAAATGGGGCTCAACGCGTTATAGCCTCTGGGCAACATGGGAGCAAGTGGGGCCTGAGCACTTTCGGCCCTTATCATCACCACCACCACCATCATCATCATCATCAGAATCATCACCACCATCATCAAAATTGCGCGCTTTCCAAATTTTAAGATGGGGCTTTGTGATCTCCTAGTCCTGGTGCGTAGCTCAGTCTTGGTGTTTCTTGTTGGGCGGCTTGGAACTATTTTGTGCTCGTGGCTTTCAACCGTGAACCTTCCTTTTTTGGCTCGATCACACCGTTCCTGAAACCCGCTGTGCAGGGACTCAGATACAACACAGCAATACAATTCTTGGTATTCAAACATATACATTCTAACAATTCTAACATATTTTTTTTGCATTCTCCAACAAAACGTCGCGCATTGAGTTTCTTAGAAATAGTTTTTTTGGGAAACAGTCTTTGGGTTTTTGAGATGGTCTGTTGATTGCAGACGGTGCTGTCTCAAACATGTTTTTGCTAGAAAACTCATTTTTTCCTGCGCGCAGGGTGACTTGGAAGCAATGAATCGTAGTTGCGCAGCTGTTGGCTTTGTGAAGTGGCACCAAGCAGTGAAAGTTGCCAGGCTGCACACTCTTAAAGTTGCGCAGTATCATGAGGATGGATATTGCTTTCCTTTGCAACTGTTCCCGGCAGACTCCTTCAGCGAGGTTTTCTTTCCTCGGTACAAGGATTTCCGCAATGAGTGTTTGCAGCGGAAGAAATGGTCTGACTATCGTTTTAAATCACATTTGTTGTTGCCGTGGCTTCATGACATGCTGGTGAACAACAGCTGCCTAAAGGATACTGCTCAAGCACTACTGGGGGCAGACGTTGTAATTTGGTCAACAGACTGGTGTGTGAAGACTAGGTCTTCAAGGCACCACTTCACCTGGCACCAAGATTCCACGTACAGCAAATTTGGGGATGATGGGGTTACTGTGTGGTTGGCCTTTTCGCGTGTGCAAGCAAATAGTGGCCCTTTATTGTTCCGACGGTCTTCTCATCTCCTAGGTCAGCTGCCACATGTGGAAAGCGAAGACGAGTCCAATCTCTTGGCATTTGGACAGTACATTCCAGACAACTACAGAAATCAGACAACTGGGACAAGTTGGAGCTCCTCAGAGATAGTGGCCGCCGAATTGCAGCCTGGTGAAGCATCGGCGCATAACTTCTTAACAATTCATAGTTCATCACCCAACCAGGATTCGGTGGATCGGGTTGGCCTTGCAGTGCGTTTGGTCAAAGCAGCTGCAGGAGTTGGTCGCCGTGACCGAGTCACGCGCCTTTGCGGAAATGGAGATTTGTATGATTTCGAGATGGAGGAAGTCCCGCAGACTGAATTTGGTCAGAAAGAGTTGGTGGAGTGGCACAAGTCTTTGGACAGGGAAAAGGCAATGTATTTTGCTGATAGGCCGCAGTCCAATTACAAGTGAAGCTGGCACAGCTGTCACCTTCGACGCAAGACAAAGGAAGTGTGAAGCAGCAAAACTAGCTCAGTTGCGGAATCAGATGTGTGTGTGTATATATATATAGTCTAGTTGTTCTTGTGGTGCGCCAATGTGTGCCAGATGCTTAGAAGAAACTGAGTCATGATGTTCTGATATTCGTTCAAGCAGGTACATTGTTTGGATGGGCGCTTCTATTCTTTCAAAGTTGTCGACCTTCAGCGCAATGCTGATCGGGCCACGTACTTGGAATTTCAAGAGCGTACCTTTGGCAAGCTAGCCACCCTTCATTCCTTCACTGAGGAAAGCTGAGTACGACGAGCTCGGACCGGCAATTGTTCATAGCAAGTGCTTCTAGTGTAGCCTGCATGCACTAATTATCCCGCAATTCTTAAATCACCAAGCCTGTGTTGACAGCGCGTGGCAGCTTTCACGCATTGAAAAGGGTACCAATCGAGTCTATTTGACATGCCAGTGATGCAGTTGCACAGTGCTGTTCCCTCGAGTCCTGAGCTTGCTCAAGGTTGCAACCTTTGCAGAGTGCAGACGCACTAGATGTGAGAGTATTTCAAGGTCGAACTTGCAGAACCTTCCATAACTTTGCCCGTACCAGCAACCAGCACACAGCAAATGATATGTCAATGCAGTGTGTACATGTGCTCCTCCAAACTTAAATGATATTGCGAACAGACCAGATACAATTTTGCTTTTCAATATGTGTACTGCCAGTGACTTGTACCAAGTACGACATTGTTCCAGCCTTCCAGCACAATATTCACTGAGCGCGAAGTCAGTGTACTGTAACCAGTTTTGTCTTCATACTGTATACCGCCTTAGAAGTCTCGGCCTTTGTTTGATGCCGAAGCGGCTGCCAAGCACAAATAACACAATTCTGAATCCAAATTGGCAACTTGTGCAAATTTCCTAAATTCTTGAATCTGAATCTGCTAGGTCCGTCAGATGGATGATGGAGCTGTGATTCTTCCCAATGTCTTCCTTTGAGCCGCTTTGAGAGAAGTTCATGAGTGGGCATGAGCTAGCTCCAGCTAGCCCAGGCTGTTGGATGCTCCACTGAGCAAAACGGCCCCTCTTACGGTGGTTCCATTTTTGGTCCTCCTCTCAGTGCCGCATCCATTTCAAGCATGTTTTTTCGATCAAAACTCCATCCACTTCATGTTCAAAACTTGTTGCTGGTTCAAATGTCGTTTTGCGCGAGAACTACAATAGATTCAGAAGACGTTTGTGAACTGTAGACGGCGTGGCCTCCATAATAATTCCAGTTCAGTGCAGGGCAGAAGTTGCTTCCACATGCCGTGTTGACGGCCTTCTGCAAACTACGTCCGAGGCCCACCCGGATTCATGCGCTTTGTTTGCAACAAGCAGAGGATGCCAACAAGCCTTGGCGCAGGACAGGGATATGTTTTTATGATTTCAAAAGCGGCTTTTAGGCTGAAAGGCCACAACAATCGGCAGGCGAGGCAAACTGGAGAGCAGCAAGAACCCAACACAGCCAACAGATAGACAGGAAGTGAAGATGATATGGCGATGGGAATGAAGGAAGCTGAGAGAAATAGTTGCAAATCAACAGCAACAGAAGTCCAGATTCGGCAGAGCCAACTGGGTAGCAAGTCATTTCCCGCCAGATTGCTAGTTTGCCATGCACTGGGATGCTCACAAAGCATGCGTCGTTTGCCAGCGATTGCAACTGCTGCTAAGTACAATACAGCACGCATTAGAGCATTAGCGAGAGGCTGAGACTCTTCGACTGAAGTGGCATCAGTGATGGACAGGGTGAAGACCGGAGCATTCCAGACCATGTCTCACATGGCGCACCTGCATCATTTAGGATCTGATCCCGAACGTGCTGAAGACCATTTGCGGAAGTCTCAGCCTGGCGGACAACATGTTGTGTCCTCAAAATAGCAACGCTGCGAAGGGGCTGCTGCAGGTAGGTAGAAAGCAAAAACATGGCCTCTTCACGTATGCCAGGGTGCCGTGAAGGCTCTTCTGGACCTGATGCTCGCACCTGCTCACGCAGCCTTCTTGCTGCGCAGTCTTGTTCTTTGGTTGACGGAGCAAAGAGCGCCCGATCGCACGCAAGCCGGTACAAGTCTCCAACAGCACACCGTACTGTTTGCATAGTACACAGCTGGGCAGCGCTGGCGTGGACCCGAATGCCTGGCCGCACCTTCCTACAAAAGGTTCGGCTGGCGCAACTGCTGAAACTTACCAGCTGCGTACACTGCCCGCGGTTTGCTCAGGCCGGACGGAAGCTGCGGGATCTACACTTTACCTTCGTTTTTGACCCTTAACTGCCACCTTTGTTTTCGATGACAGTTGCCAAAGTGTGTAACTGTAGTGGAACCATGGGGAAACACCCGTCCAGGGCAGCGGGGAATCCTGCAGCGACACCAGCGCCCAAGCTCCAAGGCGCACACGGCAACCATTTGGCAGCGGCGCCAAGAGGTGATTGGAAGGGAGGACGTTGCCAACATTATTCCAGGGGTCTGTGGCATCACAGAGAGGCCTGGGAACCCAGGCAAAGGAGGAGGAGGAGGAGGAGGCAAGACAAGGTAACTGGAAGGGAATGAGGTGACAATTTTTTTTGGTCTGGGAGAGACAGGGGGCTTACAGCCAAAGGAAGGATACAGAAGATGCTCCGCCAATCTTGGAGCCAAAAGACCTTTGACACAAGGAGGAAAAAGATTGCAAATCAGATTTCAACATGCAGAGCTTGAGTGATGGATCTGTCGAAAGCTTTCAGAAATCTTACTAAACATCACTACAATCTACAATTACTGAAAATTACTCCAGGATAGACCCAGATAGCTAGGCAGAATCCCACGACCTGTTGACATGCGACTGGCTGGAACAGGAATGTACGCAGCCTGCGCAGCCAGCTTACGGCACCTCCACAGCGCGCACAACAGCGCGCACAACCAGCTGACACCAACGCCGGTGCTCTTTGCCAGCTGACAACACCGGCAGCGGCACCAGCACCCGACCAGCGCCGCCGCCCGTCTCAAGCCATCAAGGTATTAAGTGTGGAAGAAAGCCTGAAGTTTGCCCAAGAACACCCCGGCCAGATCATCGACTCCAAGTTCGTCGATCGACGCAAGCTAAAAGACATCGATCGAGCTTCCTTGAACAATTTCAAAAGAAGGGCAACGCATTGAACCAGTGGCATTGGAGACTGGTCAACAGAAGCCCAAGTCTCGATGATGCACAGTGGGCTGGAAAGATCCAGGGCTCCAGTCCAACACCTTTGAGCGCTTCAATCCATGCCTGGCTGGAGCTGTGCGCCTCCAGAGGTTGGAAGACACGCGTCAAAGATGTCAAGACCTCCTCCCTGCGGTCGCTCCCAACAACCCGCGCACGGCCGCCACGCAGGCAGCCTCGTGATGAACCACTTCGCTGCCAGGACTCGACCAATGCCAGTTGGTACTTTTGTTGTCAGAAACTTATAATTCGGTGTCAGGAGGACCTTGGTGAAGGTCAGTGCAGAGCAGCTTGGGTACACGTAGAACCCATATGGCAAGTTCATATAAATATAACAAGTGCGCGCTGACACTTCCTTTCGAGCTCCAGCCAACCAAAAGCCAAGACTGAAGGCTTTGTGATCATTGGGGTCGACGGCATCGTTGAAGGCGGTGGAGAAAAACACCAAGGCCGGAAGAGAAAGATGGAAAGCATCGAGCATCCTGAAGATCGATGAGCTCTACGGTGCAGAGGGTTCTTAACTATCCTGGAAGGTTCATCAGACAACTCTCTGATTTTAGCTTCCGCATCTTCAACGTGGAAGAGTTCGTTTACACCAGGCTGGAACCTGTTTGACTCAGCCGGAAGGTTCAAGAAGGACTCGGCAGCCGTGGATTTGATCTCCCAGCGAACAGGCCCAGTTGAGGGACCTTTTGCATCGCTGAACTGGCTGTTGCGAGAGTCCAGACCAGATCTTTCCGCGGCTGCTTCGGTCACCTAGTGGCGATCTCGCCGTCTCAGGCGAAAAGCTGCTTGGTCGTTGCTGCGCGAGGCAACCAGCATGTCGGCCACCACTGGCTCGCCGGAAAGGCAAAGCGCCCTCATGGAATCGGTGAGGTTCTCCGAGGTCCAAGCAGCGCTTTGAGGAGTTGGAGAAGCTTGGGAAGACGCATGTGATTGCGTCAGAGGCTGCCGCCTGTCGAGACCATGCCTGTGCTCCAGATGCTGGCCGGGTGCACCTTCCAGATCGAGCAAGAGACGGAGGTGCTGCGGTCAACAGTCGGAAAGCCGACTGAAATCCAGATGGACTGAAGGATCTTTGGTTTGGGGGCTGTGAAACCGAAACACAAATATCAGACTGATGTCATATCCTTTCCTTCAGCCCGTCGATGGCCGCATACTGCAGGCCACGCGTGGACCGATCGCATCATGCATCGGTGTATTACCCCCTGTCCTTTTCTAGTTTTGTTCGTGGTTGGTTGAGCTGCCCCGCATCTCCGCTTTCCACTGCCGTTGTTTGACGGGCGGAGGTTTTTTGCGACTTGAATGTGACATCTCACTGCTGCCGCAGGATGCCCTGTGGATAGAAATGGTTGTTTCTCGTCTCTATTTTGTGCCAACGGCTTCAAAACACTACTTCACGTTTGTTTTATGAGGCGCGTAGGCCAGTCAATCATGACCACGGCCAGCGGCTTGCGAGGTGGAGCATTTCAACATTGCCTTGAACATTTACGATGCTTCATTGGTCGCTCCTGTGCCCAACAACCCAGAGGCGCATTTTATATTTGCGCTGTGCTGTTTGTTTTGCGCGCCAAACATCCCCAAAAGACATCGCAACGCTGGAGGCCACCCAAAACTTATTCGTCAAATCTGCCTGCTTCCCAGCAAACCTTGACGCGCACGACGGTCGATGAACGTGCAAATTTCGGGATGTTCGTTTTTGGGGGTGGTTTGTGGTAGTCTTTTGAGTATTTTGCAGTTTGCATTGTCAGGTTGACCGACCAATGCTTTTAGACCTTGTCAAAGGCCTTCCCAAAGGCATTGCTCGTCAGGTCAGGAAATTGCGATCGTAGTTCTGCGCAAGCAAGAATGGTTTGCAAATGCTTGCAACTGTACAATAAAGACAATTGCATAGATGAGCGTTCGCAGGTTTACCTCCGCATGGCGAACGCCACGTCCAAACCTTTTCGCTTGCGGCCTCGAGCCCGTGCGGGGCTGCAGCGTTTGGCCATGCTACTTTCAACGAGTTGTTGTGTTCAATGTCAATTTCCTAGTCTTATCTCCAGAGCCTTCCAATAGGGGGATTCAATGTATTTTTTAGGCCCCAACTAGTGTGAGGTTGGGTAACTGGCCGAAGACACTTGTGCCAGAAAATGGTTTGATGTTCAATGGATAAAGCGTGCCACGCGAGCTGCGCAGGAGATGGAAATCACCTTTGCTAATAATTACGAGGGCATACAAATTCCTACCCTTGAACTACGGAGTTGACGAGATAGAACCGTGAAGTATGAGAAGTTGAAGTTCCAATGCTGTTTGTTGATGTATCTGTGACGGGTTCTTGGGAGTTTGAGGAGCTGACGTACGGAGCTGTCATAACGTAGGCCATATGGCCATATAATTTGTGGTTTTATAGAGTATGTGCAAGGTTTTTACACAGCAAAAAGGCCTTCAACTTTACAAGCCATGCGAATCACAGCACCTTGCTTTTGAAGTCCGAGGCCTGAGCCTTGAAATCCATGAGCTAAGTGATTGGAACAGGCATTTGAGCACTCCACGGCCCAATTTCCTACACAGCCAGATCGGCAGGCTTCAGCAGCGGCTGATTGCCTTGCGACAGGCGATTGTTTTCTATTGCATGGGTCCAGTGCTTCAGCCGCGTAAGAGACGCCAATTGCCCAAAGATCCGCTAGAGGCCTTCGGAGTTCCAAACAAAAGCGGAGGACTGTAGACTCAAGACAAGACCCAAGTCAATTCAACACCCCAAACTGACTCCAGACACAAAGCTCAAGATCCAAGACCGAGTCCGATTACAATTTGCTAGTATTTGGTGCTGTTTTGCATGGAAGGCAGAGTGTGTTGCTGGGGCCTTCGCCAGCAATGCTTCGGCAGGGAGGCGTCGCTTATACTTATACTACCAGCAAGTGACTGAGGAGTTAGAAAACATACGCCGCGGTTTTGTAACTTCTCAGTCATCAGCGTTGGGTTATGTATGCATCCTAAGTCCGATGCCACCTGGCTCCTAAAGTGTTTTGAGGTGTCCATTGCAAGGTTATGTATGCATCCTAAGTCCCACGTCACCTGGCTCCTAAACGTGAGAGTGGCACTTACCAACTTGAGCAGGTGAAAGTGCACAGTCCCCCTTGAGCAACTGGCAGGTGAAAGTTCACTTGATACAGCGCCATTGAAGCACAGATTCAAGCTGCTTGATTATATATAAGGCTATTTCGTTGCATACAGGTGTCATCATATTACATTCAGGTCTTATAGTAGCCCGTTCGACTTTTGTTTAGTAGCCCGTCCGACTTTTGTTCAAATGCCCCATTGCCTTTGACAACCACCTGGAGGCGAGGATTGGGGGTGGGGGCTTGAGCATTGTGAAGTTGAAGACTGATTGAGTTTAGATGGTTTAGTTAGGATTTTCGACCCCTGAACCGGCCACCAGGCAGATCATGCCGGTGGCTTGGTGACCTTGTGTTTGGAGATGGCCAGGGAGTGGGGGACACGATGACGGAATTTGTCGAAAGGTTTTCACATGGCAGCGACACGTTTTCCGAAGGCATTTTGCCTCAGGTCTGACAAATGTGTTCACCACTCGTCACATCATTACAAGACTTAGTAACTCATAAACTCATCACATTGCATAATTCGGGGCTGGACGCATTATTCCATGACACCCAGGTCGACCTACACTCCACGTTCTGTCAATTTTAATTTTTGACCTGAACAATTCTTCGACTTCGATCTTCGTCAGTCAAGCCATGGACATGTACCTTGACCCTCAGCTTCACAGGGAGGTGCACCAGAGTGGCGAGAAAACATGGATCTTCAAGTTCAAAGACCACCGTGCAAATCGGTGGCACGAATGGTGCTATGTGCGTGAGCAGAAAGGGTCTGACCAGCAGGAAATGACTTCTCAGCAGAAGGCCTCCGCTATGGGGAATATCTTCACGGCCGCTGGAGGACCAATCACCTTTAGAAGGCTGACGAAGAGCCAGAAACCAGCGATTGGGTCAGTTGGCAAGTGGCGCATGGCAGATGATGGAAACTCCATCGAGTTCATCAATTGGGCCTGCTGCTTTGGTGCAAATTTGCTGCCACGGTTGGTGTGGAGGTTGGACTTGTCCTATGCCCCGCACATTGCAGCCTAGCCTGTTTTGTAAATTGTTGTTCAATTTTTGGTCACCTAATTTTACATTTAGGCTATAGGTTTGAAGGTTTGAAGCTCAGCCCAAGGTCTTCCGCGAGCAGAATCGTTCAATGCTGCTGATGGGGTGCCTGGATGAGTTCTTCTTGCTTCCACCGCCCTCGCTACCCCCTCCCCAGGTGCCACGGGTGATTCCTTTGGGTTGGGAGCCGCCGCAAGTGGTACTTGCACTACGTGCAGAATCAATGACCTCGCAGCCATCAGCGGCAAATGCAGGATTCATGACCTCGCAGCCACCACCGGCAAATGCGTCATCCATGACCTCGCAGCCATCAGCTGCAAATGCAGCGTCCATGACCTCGCAGCCATCAGCTGAAAATGCAGCATCCATGACCTCGCAGCCATCAGCCTCTCCAGCAGGCGAATGGCTGAATTCCGCACCAGCATCATCAGCAAGGCCAGGACCAGCAGAAGATGAGCAGGCTCAGGAGCAGCCAGCCGATGATGAAGATGGATTTGTCTTGGTCTGATTGACCCCAAACCAGTCATGCATTGAGCATGGAATGAATTTTGTCCTTTAGTTGGACAAGCTTGGAATTGCCTAAAACAGGCATTGAATCTTAGAATCTTAGAACGACCCTTCGATGATGACAGCATTCAGGAATCGGTCGGGCAAAACATTTTGGGTTGCGATGACAGCTCCTTTCCGTTGGGCACAACATTTTGGGTTTTGCATTGACAGCTCCATTCCGTTGATGTAGGTGTTGATGCACTTCATCCTATTATGACCGATAGGAAATCATTCCAACCATCCAAATCCCACTTTGATTCGGCTCCTTTTTTGGCACACTGCTGCTATTCGTCCTCCGGTCATGACTGGTGCCGCCGCCAGGTGCTGAGATGCTTTCTCTTCAAAGCCGGTGCCTAAATCTGGGACAATATGCTCAGAAACCATGAGTCTCATGAGTGGTGTTATCTTTAGGCGCCTATTTCAGCATATTTCAGCCATAGTTGGATCGAAACCGAAACGTAGCTATCTACCGGGTTGGGAACACAAAGACCATAGTGAGACACTAAGTCAGAGTCATAAGAGAATCTGATTAATACAATCAATCCAGGGTGAAATCATATCATGGTAGCAACTCAAGAGGTCTTTAGTGCATCCGGCCGGCTTCTCTGCGCAACATGGTCATCATGATGGTCATTCCCACAGTCTTGCCCTCAGAGAATTGGTGAAACATGTCATGGTGAATCTTGAAGTTGCGCAAAAGGGTTATAGTATATAGTAAGCCATGGTTTAGTTGTAGAAGGTTAAGAACTATATAGTCTCTTGGAAGAACTCCGCACCTCATGAGACATGAACATCAGTCACGCCTGGCTGGCCATTCGGAATTCAGCCACTCTCTCGGCCACCCTCAGGTGTCCACCTTCTGCGCTCATCAGTGACGAGCGGTTTGCAGGACTGCCTGCCGAAGAACTTTCTCACTATCCCCAACTAATCGTCTTGCTGATCTAGCAAATTCAAAATGTCATTAGCTTTGGATGTGTCTGGTTTTGGAGGCCTTGGGCATGGAGGCTCGTCGCAGGCGACTTCTGATTTGATCTGATTAGTTTCAACTCCTTGAGCCATATTAGTCAGTGGGTAGTGGAAGCACCGGAAACCACCACCTAGTGAATTATCTTTGCATTGAAGCCCAATGTCACTACATACTAAAGTGAGAAGAAGAAGCCCTGATTCTCAATCTCTGACAGGTATTTCCAATCTTTGGCTGCTTCGAAAACTACAGCAGCACAGCCATGTGCCCCAAATGGGAACAAGGCCAGGTCCGAAGGGAACAGTTCAGTTTCCACTGCATCGTGCTTTGCTACCTGTGGTATCAAAAGGAAGTACTTTGCTGGGTTAGCAGGGGCAACTGATCAGTTGCAGAAGACACACCAAGTTGGAGGCGATGCACGGGAGGCAGCCAAAGACACTGAAGCAGCTGTGCGCTTTTCTTTAGACCAGTTGCTGGAGTTTCAACAGAAGATGCGAGATTTTCGAATGCTGAAGGAGGAGCATGATCCTCCCAGGAAACGTCCAAACTACAACAACACGAAGCGAGCTTTCTTTGCGAAGGGCCGTCCTCCAAATCATCAAGAGTCATTGGATTGAAACAGTTTAAACAGTCAGTTTGAGGATGTTTCACAGATGCTTGTTTGCATGTCCCCGTGTGAGGGCGATGTTTTGTTCGCAATCGTATCATTGTTTAGCATATTCTAGCCAAGGCAGTGCACAAATGGCATGTCCGAAGATCGTGTCAAGCGGCTTCAGTCGCTGGACAAGTGCCGGTGCCATAGGAAGAGATGCTTCCAGAAGGTCCAGTCAGTCTTCAAGCAGTTGATGCAATTTCTTGAGCTGTTTTGGTCAATGGCAAAGAATGCCCAAGACCTTTTCGCGCACGCCTCATTTGTTCTTTGTGATGGTGCTCATAGTGCATCGGCTCTTGCAAAACAAACGCAACCTCCAGTATGTTGTACTTCAGGTGTCGGAGGTGATCGGCGGCTACAGCAAGGTGCGACGGACTTGGAAATTGATGGGGCAACGTATGTCGCCAAAGTGCGTGGCGGCTGTACTTGGAATTGGGAACTTCAGAGTGGCACGTTTGAAGTCTGGGCAGAAGGATCGGCGCTATCGTATCTGGGGAGGGGTCTATGGATGCAATAGATATTTTTTGTGAGAAGAACCCTCAAAGCTAGCTCTCCTTTCCATGCGCTTTTGGCCGTTGATGTTGCAACTCCAATAGCCTGATAAACTCTGTTACTAAATAGCAGTTGAATGCAGTTGGTATCCTGGCCTAGGGCAACAATCGATGCCCGAAGAAGATGAAAACCGTTGACCTTTTCTTATTGGAACAATACATCAAAGCAGCTGGCATGCTCCCTCAAAAGTTCCCTGGCAAAAAACAATGACAAAGCCTTGTTATTTTTGCTGCAAAGTGATGGTAGCTAGACATATCTAGACATCACGTTTTATTCTTTCAACCAATCAGATCACCCTGAACGATCAAGCCTCCACGCCGCCAATCTGGGAGGTTCCAACGTGGCGCTCGTCTTCGGTCCAAGAACAAACCCAAGCTGCAGAACATGGTGGTATATTTGGACCAGCCCGGGAAGGATGAGGATCGAGGCTTTGTGGGTTCAAGAAGGGGTGGGCCCATACCATCACTAATTACATGAAATGCTTCAGTGGTATTTGCAAATTGTATTGGGCGGGGGTGCGGTCAAGCGAACTATGGATATGGTAAACAAGTGTTTCCGAGACAGCATCGTGCAGGTGCTTCTTCAGACTCTGAAGCAGGCGACGACTTGTTTATAGAACATGAGGCGTTGGAGGACAATGAGGAGCTACGCTTGCACATTTTGGGTCTTCAGTCCTATTGGACACAGCATCTCTTCTTACAAAATATGATTGGCTAGATGATGTCGGTTTAGATACACTTCTTGCAAAGTAGGAATGGCCAGCTGATAGTTCTTTCGATTGAACCACCGCACAAGGTACGTGGATACCAGCCACGGGAATGTTGTCTCGGAACTCCCGACACGATACCTGGCTCCAGGGTCCATAAAACTTTTGTGGCGACAAATGGTGCAAAACGATGATCCTCCGAAGGTGAGGCCGCTCGACATCAGTAGGTCTGGCCCGTGCAGTTTCAGCCCTAATTTGTGATACTGGCAGTTCTGCACACACTGAAATGCATTGGGGTTGCATC